ATTTTTAATCTTCCCACTAAGGCAAGCCCGTATGCTAAACAAACAAGAAGCGTCCTCGGCCCACTCACACTGGAATTGCTGGCTGGTGACAAAGTTCTGAGATTAGATCTCTATCAGGCTGTCTCGCCACCACTGTCATCATCAGCCTGACACTCCTCACCCAGAACTCAGATGTGTGTACCTAAGCAAATACGTACTTTCCATGTGTTATTACTACAGCTTTTACTCACTTTCACTCTTTCTAGGCATTTTGAACAGAATAAAGAGAAAGAAATGTATTTCCTCGATCCAGCCATTCTTACAGGATGTTGAATGCTCTCTCGCTCTCTCCCTCCCTACATACCTCCTCCCTCCCTCTCTCCCATTTTTCTCCCTTCCCCCTCTCTCTTGCTCTCTCACTCTCTCTCTGTCTCTCTCTGTCTCTGTCTCTCTCTCTCTCTCTCTCTCTCTCTCTGCCTCTCTGGCACACTCATGCTCTCCATCTCCCCACAGTTTCATGTAACCACGCTAATCTTGAACTCACTATGTTGCTGAATTCTTGACCCTCCTGCCCCTGCCTTTGGAATGCTAGAATTAAAGAACGCTACACCACACCTGGCTGAATTGTTAATTCCTTTATCAGAACTGAAGAATTTAGGTGTAACCAATTAAGCGCAGCGTTTCCAAGCAGCACTGTGGCAGCATGCTCCTTCAGACAGAACTAACACCTGTTCAGAGAGGAGGAAAGCAAGTGAGATAGAAAACATGTTCCTGTCTGGGCCTCTCCTGATCCTCTCCCAGCCACTGGTACAGAAGAGTCTGCAGTCATCAAGGTTCCAGGTTAGCCACACCCAGGAACACTTCATTTCCATAGAGAGGACTTTTGAATCTGTCTCCTGAGAGATGCTGTAAAGTAACCTTGGGCTCTGCTTGCTCCAGCCTCCAGGGACATCTCAGATCCTGTTAGTTTTCATCTCAAAAGTTATTCTGAATTAGGATTCTTAATGGGTTTATCACTAGCCACTTTGAAAAGATTTTTGTGTGTTGAAAAGAGGAACTCATTAGAGCAGTGAATCACAGAGAAATGGAGGCTAACTCCGGACCAGTTACTGGTGAGGAATCCATTGAGGGGGATGGGGAAAAGTTTGGGGGAGGAGGAAAGAGGCAGGGGGGGGGAGAGAAAAGAAAGGAGGAAGGCAGAAGGATAAAGGGGAAAGAAAATAATAGAAATCTCCAGAGATGGTCTGTGAGTACTGTGAGTAGGTAGGGCTGCTCTTGGCCATTTGATTTCAGTGTTCAGGACAACTTTTGATCTTTAGGTGTGATTGTGAGAAAAGTTCTGCTGAAACTTCCTGAAGTTGGCAGAGCTAAGGGAAAGTGGCAAGGAGAGTGAGTCTGATAGGTTGGTGAAATGCCCTTCTCTTGACCATTTGAGAACCACACAAAGGTGTGACAGCAAGAGATGCCAGATGGGGGTCTCTGCCCCATCACTTGTAAGCACAGCCTGGCCTCCCTCATCTGGAAATGGCCCTGTGCTAAGCTTACTGTGGACATCACAGAAGTGGTATGGAAGCAGACTGGAGCAAGCCAGTAGCAACCAACTTGTGAACTGTCAATCAAAAACGGATCAGTGGGAATGAAGATGGTGAGGATTAATTTGCACCTTCAACCCAGACCAAGGGACAAACAGCAACAAAAACCATTTGCTCTAAGTGACAGCAGGTGCAGCTGCCAGCATCCGAAGGAGACCTGTCTGTCCCTGCTGAAGGCTGAGGCAACTACTCTGCTTGGTCAGCATCTGCTGCTGGGACTGCTGCCTTGGTTACAGTGGGAACCTGCAAGCCAGCTCCAATCCTTCTCCTTGTCTATCTCTCCTTCTCCTCGGCACAACCTCTACCCACCCCCGCCTTGGAAAAACCTCCTTGAGGGGAGCATTTTGAAGTCCTGACCTCTTAAACCTTCTAGATTTTCACTGGTCACTTTCCTATTGTTTCACAGTTCGCTGATGTGTACAAGCAAACCCGTTCTGGTTCCGTCTTCATTTCACAGATGGAGAAATCCAGGCTGGAATCTTGGATTTGAGGGTTTCTGTTTCAGGTTCTGTGCCATGTCTTCTTGAAAACCCGGGTTTAGAGAACTACAGAACTAAAAAGGAAGAGGGATAGAGGGAAAAGGAAAGACGGGGAAAGAGGGGAGCTACAGAAGGAAGGAGGGGGAAAGTGAAAACTAGAAGTCACTTAAGAGGTGAGCAGAGACGGGGGTTATTACGGGTAGCCTGGGTGAGTTGGCCCTGGTTTTGATTAGATGAAATTGCGGCATGATCCACACCCCTGTCCAGCCTGACAGGTCACCTCTCAGGTACCTATGCGACTTTGCTATCCTGTGAGCCCGGGATCCCTTGCCACTTTTGGTTTATGCATCCACATGACCAGCTGCAACCCCCGTGCCTGACTCCGCTGCACTGCCTTCGGAAGAGTACTTGCAGCAGCTTTTGCAGGAGTCTGGAGTGACCAGTCCCGGAAACAACACAGGACACAGCCCTGGGCCAGCACTGGCGAAAGCGGGCATCCGGATGCCTGGGGCAGGATGGGACTCCGGGACGCTGTAGCTGCTGTAGCTCAGCGGCCTTTAGACTCTGCAGGACTGACCCGGAACTTTGCGAGGTCTGACTTTTCTTTCGCAGAGACCCACGGGGTCACCGCAGCGACTCTGTGTCCTTTGGCGCCGCCCCCCCCCCCCCCCCCCCCCCCCCCCCCCCCCCCCCCGCTGCCAACACACACGGGTCGCAGAGCTTGCTCCCAGGTGGAAAAGAAGCATCCGTGCAAAGATGAAGCAAGTGAGCCCGGATCCCAGCCTGCAGATGACTCCCAAGCTGCGGGTCCGGAGCTGGCCGGCGACGGCAGCGCCATCGCTTGGCTCAGGACTCAAAACTACGTGTAAAACTAAGCGCTGGGAAGCCACGTTCCCAGCCTGTGTTCTCCGAGCCCAGCCCCGGCTCTTTGTCCCGGGTTTGCCAAGCATCTTCAGCTTTCCCTGAAAGCTCTGCCTGCGCCGTGCGAACCCAGAATGCTCACAGCCTGGCACCTCGTGCGGACCCTGGGTGCGCTCTGCGCGGGGACCGACCGCTTAGGGAAAGCTCAAGCACTTGGGCCTTTAAGCACGAGGTTCCCCACGCCGCCGAGAAGAGCGTGTACGTGTACACTGCGCTCGCCCCTCTCAAGCCCCGACCCTAGAGCTGAGGCAGGGTCGGAAATAGCGGGCCTGAGTGATCCTCTGTCGTTCTGTCCCCTTTCCTCAAAATAACCCTTCCTCTCGGGGAAAAGCGCTCTGACCCTTAGGCGAGCGCTCCTGCCAGAGAGATGCAACGCTGCGCATGGCCTGGCTCCCCCATCCCCACGGGGACTCCCGCGTCCACGGTGGATACACTCGGGGCAAACCTTCCAGTTTGGTGCCTGGTTTCCCGCACCCCAGGACGCCCCCTCCCAGGCCAGCGCCCGCTGCACCACCCTTGGCCGGTAGCTGTGCTAGCTTTGCCCGGTAGCGAGCGAGCGAGCGAGTGCAACTTTAAGGGCCACCAGCCTTAGGGCGGTGCTGCTGGACCCTGGCCGGGGTAGATCGGAAACGCCAGTCTACTTTATGCCAAAAGCACGGGCCCTGGTGAGTGCTATCTGGGGCTCCCGGAGGGTCACACCGGGTCTTGAACTCGGAGAGGGAATCCGGCGCGCACGTTGCCAGCGAGGCCGGCTGTGAACTCAGTCGCCGCGGGCTGGGACCTCAGACTAGAGCGATCCCTCCCTCCGAGATTCCGCAGCCGGAGCTCACGGTATTGGCCTTCTCGCCGCCTGTGAGGTCAGCCTTATCAGCCCGGCCCGAGGATTAGGAAAGGTCCTGGGAGATGCGGGGCCGGCTGCGGCGCACTCAGTAACTCAAGGCAGCCTCCATCACCCGACCCCGCCCCACCCCCACCCCGTGGTGCGCCCAGACTTTGCCTCTTTCGAAGCCTCCACGTGGGGTGGTGTGCCATAAATATTTGTGGGTCGAGTGAATTCCTGGATCTAGTCCCGCCTGCTGTGGCTCCTGCGGCGGGGTGTGTCTAAGCAGTATTGGCTCGCTCGCTCATTCACTCACTCACTCACTCACTCACTCACTCGTTCATTCGTCCTGCAGTTCTTGAGCGCCTATTGGGTGAGGGCGCTGGTGTAACAGCCAAAGCGGCCGCGGTGCGCATCATGGTCTCAAGTTCCCAGACCACGGCCCCGGGCCTGTTGAGCCTGGAGTATTAGGATGCGGGGAAAGTGAGGAGGCGCCATTGCAAGGAAGTCCTCGGGGGTGTGGGGGGAGGTAGGGGACATAGAACCGTAAAAGTGGCTCCCCTGAAAAGAATTCCACGAAAGAGCCACCCACCGGCAAGGGCGTTACAGAGTCGGACCGCAGGGAGGCAGCGGCCAACGGAGCCGGAGGGGGCGAAGGCAAGGAGGGGAAAGCTGGCAGAAAACCTCTCCAGAGCCCCAGGGGAGAGCCTGCGCAGGGCCCGAAGTCCTGGTGGCTCCCCGGACCACCCCTGGGGGCTGCCCACGTTGGTTGGGACGAGATGACCCAAGCCTAGGTGTGTCCTGTCCTATTGGCCTATCTGGGGACAATTGTGGTTAGTGTCTCTCCTCCCCGAGCATCCCAGCGAAAGCTGTTTGACTTCAGTTGTTCCTTTTTCCTTTCCGGGAGCTTTGGTGGAGTCTTTTCCCAGGGTAGAAGGGGGGGTCCCCCCAACAGTAGGACGGGGTGGGGGGCTGGACCCGACCCCCGCGCCATGGGCGCGCTCCTCCCGGCCCTGCAGCACCTGCGCCGGGGCGCGGATCCAGGACAGGCTCGGGAGGCGGAGGGGCGGACGGGGGCGGGCACGGGGACAGGCCCGGCCCCTCCCTCCCCTGCCGGCAGGTCGCAGCGGGGACGCCACGGCGGGGCAGCCGGGAGGGGCCGCGCCGCCCCTGAGAGTCATTGGAGGACCCGGTGGCCCGAAGCTGATAAATAAGGGCCCCCGGCCCGAGGCTCCCGGCCAAGTTGGACGTCGCGACCTGAGCGAGGGCCAGGTCAGCGCCGGGCCCCACGAGGCGAAGCCAAGCGACCCGCGTTCGGCCATGGCCTCGCTGCTGGGAGCCTACCCGTGGACCGAGGGACTGGAGTGTCCCGCCCTGGAAGCCGAGCTGTCGGATGGGCTGTCGCCGCCCGCCGTCCCCCGGCCTTCGGGGGACAAGGGCTCGGAAAGCCGGATCCGGCGGCCCATGAATGCCTTCATGGTGTGGGCCAAAGATGAAAGAAAACGCCTGGCGGTGCAGAACCCGGACTTGCACAACGCGGAGCTCAGCAAGATGCTGGGTGAGTGTGCGGGGCTCGAAGCTGGTGTGGGGACCGCGCGGGTGACGGCGCCGTTTGGGTGGGTGTGGGAGGGAGGGGTGAGCGCGGACACCACAGGGCCAGCGTGGGGTTCCGAACTGGCCTCTTCTCGGGGACGCGGAACAGAGACCCGGGCTCCAGGGGCGGGTGCATCCCGGTCCTGAGGAATTCTGGCTGGCTCAGGGACTCAGACCGGCAGATACGGGTCAGCCTTGGTGGAACCGCAGTTTGCTGGAAAACTGAGGAGAGAGACACCGGCATTCCCCCACGTTGTAAGACTGGGGGATGATCAGAGAGAGAGATTGTCACGGATAAGACGAAAACGAATATACGTCAATCGAGGCCTCACCGGGAAGAATCCCTGTTTTTAATTATTCAACAGACAAAAAAACCAAAACCAAACAAACAAACAGAAAATCTAAATCAGCACCCGAACAGACCCGATTCGCTTACCTACTTATCGCAGAAATGTAGATAGCTTGAAAAGATCCTTCGCGCAGCCAGAGAGGGTCTGTGTGTTTTACTTTCTATGGTGCCGTCGTCCTCGGCAGATAATCCAGTCTGAGACCAGACAGGCCAGAGAAACAGAGGTGAAAACGCTAGACCGGTCCTAGGAAACCCGAGTTTGGGTTGTATTTTCTTTTCTCTGCAGTACCCGGAGCAGGGTGGGTGGGGTAGGTGGGCTGAGCAAGTATACATGAGTGTATATACATATATACATATATATTAAATATGTCTGTGTTAGTGTCTGTATGTATGTGCCTGCTTGCCATGGTGAGTGTGCCCGGTTCAGAACACAGCTTGCAGGTGGGGAGTAGGTTCTCTCTTTTCACCATGTGGGTTCCAGGGACCGAATATTCACGTCTTCAGGCTTGGTGGCAAATGCCTTTACCTGCTTCACCGCCTCACTGGTCTTAAAGCCAGACAAACTTCAACCTCACCTTACTTCAAAACTCTTTACCCTTCAACGTGGTGGTTTTGATTTATTTTAACCATTGAAATCCCTTCAAAGCATTTTGTGTTTGTAGAGGGCACCAGGCCTGCCAGGAGAGTCCTGCAGGCTTCTGGACCCCACCCCGCTGTGGTGGAAGCCCATCCCTTTTCCGTAGGAGCCTGGGCTCTTTCCTCTTTCAGAGTCCCAGAGCAAGGGCTGACTTTCTGCTGCCAATAGGCCTGGGCCTAAAGAGTGGGCCCAGCCCTCTGCTTTTCTGCGGGTCCCAAAAGCAGTTGGTGAGAGTTGTGAGGTTCCAAGCACTTTTTGTCCAGCCTTGTGACCAGCTGTGCCCAGCATGTATATGGTGAGCATGGACTTCGGGGCTCCTTCCTCTGAACAAAATAATAAACCTGTCTATTTTGTACTGTATTAGCATAATAAGAATTAGACTAATACCTGCAACAGTACCTATTCTTTGACCTGAAAGCTTATTATATTGTTTTCTTGAGCCTTTAAGTTTTTCCTCTTTAAAGAAATGCAAACTCTTTTTTTGTGAATACCTGCCCCCCCCCCATCACTCTCTTGTTCAGGCACAGCAGCTGAGGACAGAATTCCTACTTTGACCAGGTTTCTGTTGCAGGCCCCGGTGGGGAGAAAGAAGGACAGGGAGCCTGCAGGAGAATCCCACTTGCCTGTTTTGGGGGTTAGGATAGGGACAGAGATGTGGGAAACAAACCTTCATGTGGGCAAATTCTATCTGGAACACAGCCCTGGGCTCTAAGAGTGTGTCATTCATCCTGCAGAGAAGATGGTCTTTCTCCTGGCAGCACAGAGACCACTGTGCCTGATAAACGGGTGCGGGGGGTAGCAGCCACCCTGGGGTCTCTCTTCTGGCCTGCTTTCTTCCCTCTCTGTCCTATGAGAGCGGAGGCCTGGATGCGGGACTCCAAGCTTTTTCCACTGCAAGCTTCCCAAACTTTAATCATAAAACCCTGATGGAGGATTTTTAGCACAGGTGAAAGTGAAATGTTTTAGTATATCTCGGACACATTAAGTGAATTCCGTCTAGTTCATTATGAATGAGAAAATATCACACATTAGACAATTGTTAGGATTTAAAACAGAAACCATGTTTTATTAACACTATGGTGTCTGGGTACATTCGGAAACTAGAGCCACACTGTACATTTCGGACCATGGATACTAAGTACACGGGGTATATCTGGATCCTGGACCTCTTGCAAGAGATTTGTGGCCTCAGCCAGAGGCTGAGAACCAGTGTCGTCTCTGTATCGGGTGCTGCGGACACTCTTCGAGCCATACTTCCAAATGACAGCTAACTACAGCATTTGCAAATAGTGGTCAGTTCTGCCTTTAAGACCTCAGGGTCTCTTATCTGACCCACGGAGCCAGCCAGTGTGGGCTAGGACAGAGACAGAGGACAGCGGGGACAAGAGCAGGGCGTACATGACCCTGTGCTTAGCCACATGTGGGCTGTGCCCAGTGGGAAGATACAGCCTTTTTCCTTACAGGGCTTGCATGGCCAGATGCCTTGTCCTCTTGACTAGAGGGTGTGAAACTTCAGGGTACATTGGAGAGCGAGCTAAATTTATAGGTGATCATTGGATATCTCTGGAGCAGGGCTGCAAAAACGCTCATTCAGAGATGGAAGAGGGATAGCAAGGTAGCTTGCACTTACCAAGGAACATTCTAGGTGGGGGATTAGGAATATGGAAACTCAAGTAGAAGCAGCATTCTAGCAGCAGTGGGATTCACAGAAAGGATGCTTCTAAAGGAGAGAACCCCGAGCTGGACACAGCACACGTTAGAGAGAGAAAGACAGAGACCCTTGGGAAGTTGAGGAGTTTGCCTCCTTGGAAAGCTGTGGCAGAGCAAATATCCTGCTCTAGAGAAAGGATCCTAATTCCAAGTGAGAAGGTGGTAGAGTATGCACGTTCCAAGCGAGAAGGTGGTAGAGTATGCACGGGTGTATGGGTGTGTGTGTGCACGGGTGTGAACTTCAGGCCATACCTATATGGTTGCATAGCAGAATCTTTTGGTCCTTCAGAGGTGAGGAATAGTAACTTGTGAGCCTTACTGAGATCCTTTAATCTACTTCTTGATGACTGAGCCTGGGTTACCTCACGTAAGAGCTGTGAGGTTTATGCATTACTAAACAGCACGGTATCGCTTCCTACTCGGCAAGGAACTTTCATTAGAATGCACAAAAGGATCTGAAAAACCCCAGTCAGTATTAGTCTTTAGGTTTTTTGTTTGTTTGTTTGGTTGGTTGGTTGGTTTTTTTTCCTGTTGCTGACCACTGGGTTGCGTGAGACTTTCCTGGGTCGGGCCATCTTTTGATTTTGGGTGAGATGATGATTTCTAAGCACTTTCTCCATGAAGCTAACCACACCAGATGAAAAGAAGGGTTGGTTTGGCCCCTTCAGTGTGTGGGGAACCTGGGATGAAAAGAGGTGGTGTCCTTTTTGGCCATAAGCAGGGTCTGGTGGGTGGAGAGGAGGGACAGAGGTGTGTTGCACAGGGGATGCTAAGAAGCATGAGGCTGAAGCAGGGGCAAAGGCTGAACCAACCAGCAGTTTGGGGTCTGAGCGTGCCTTTTTTTTTTTCCTTTCTGGTTTGTGTGGTCAGGAAAGTCATGGAAGGCGCTGACGCTGTCCCAGAAGAGGCCCTATGTGGACGAGGCGGAGCGGCTGCGCCTACAGCACATGCAGGACTACCCCAACTACAAGTACCGGCCCCGCAGGAAGAAACAAGGCAAGCGCCTCTGCAAGCGTGTGGACCCTGGCTTCCTCCTGACCTCCCTCTCCCGCGATCAGAACGTGCTGCCTGAGAAAAACGGCGGCGTTGGCAGGGGGGCCCTGGGGGAGAAGGAGGACAGGGGTGAGTACTCCCCGGGTGCTGCCCTGCCTGGACTGCACAGCTGCTACCGCGAAGGTGTGGCTGGTGCCCCCGGCAGCGCGGACACATATCCCTACGGGCTGCCCACACCCCCAGAGATGTCGCCTCTGGACGCGCTGGAGCCTGAGCAGACCTTCTTCTCGTCCTCCTGTCAGGAGGAGCATGGCCACCCTCAGCGCCTCCCCCATCTACCAGGGCCCCCTTACTCACCAGAGTTCACGCCTAGTCCCCTTCACTGCAGCCATCCTCTAGGCTCTTTGGCCCTTGGCCAATCCCCAGGGGTCTCTATGATGTCCTCTGTTCCTGGCTGTCCCCCGTCTCCGGCCTACTACTCCCCTGCCACCTACCACCCTCTCCACCCCAACCTCCAGGCCCACTTGGGCCAGCTGTCCCCACCTCCCGAGCACCCTGGCTTTGACACCCTGGATCAGCTAAGCCAGGTGGAACTTCTGGGGGACATGGATCGTAATGAATTTGACCAGTATTTGAACACTCCTGGCCACCCTGACTCTGCTGCAGGGGCTGGTACCCTCAGTGGCCATGCCCCACTCTCCCAGGGGACTCCAACGGGCCCCACAGAGACCAGCCTCATCTCTGTCCTGGCTGATGCCACGGCCACATACTACAACAGCTACAGTGTGTCGTAGAGCCAGAGGCATGGAGCCTGGCCAGATCCCGCGCCGTCCTCTCCTTTCCCTGAAGCACCGAGCAGAGCAGAAACTGTAATGCTACAGCTCCTTGGTGGCAGGAGGTCAGAACTGCTATCCCAGAGCCTTCAGTCAAACACCAGGATCAGGCGCTCCTTCTGTCCCTTCAAATGTGTTCCGCTGGCTTCACGCTGGAAGCACAGCCTTGAGGGGCTGTATGCGGGAGGACTGAGTCCAATGCACTGGAGCTCCTGCTTTTGATGTAGTCACTTCTGGTCCCTGGTGCTCCCCATGAGAGGGACCCTGGGCCTGGGGTCCATCCTAGCTCAGTCTGTAACTGGCAAAACTCCATTCTGGCTTGCCTAGCCCTAACTGTTCTGTCCTGTAAAGCGAGGATTGGCTTGACAGCCAAGCGCCTGCTCTATGGATGCCTGAGTAACAGCCCTCACAAGGCCAAGCAAAATATGACCCCCGGTAACGGGCAGCCTCACAGAGACTTCATGTGCCCTGCCCAAGGTCCCAGGTTTTCTGCTTTCCTATACTCCCATCCACATTCCAAAGGAACTTCTCCAGTTAAGAAAAACATTCACCCTTTGAGCCAGCAAAATGATGCAGGATGGCTCAGTGGGTAAGGGTGCCTGCTGCCAAGCCCGATGACCTGAGTTCTATCCCCGGAACCTCCATGGTGGAAGAAGAGAGCCGACTCCTGCAAGTTGTATTCTGACCTCTGTCCATGCCGTAACACACGTGCCCCGCATTGTGTGTGTGCTTGGGCATACTCACGTGTACACGTACACGTACTAAATGTAATCTTTACGAACCCTGGTTCAGGAAATTCATGAGTATATTCAACTGCATCAGTGAAAGCAAAACTGGATTTGAAGTTGTTGCATTTGTTTTTGGTTTTATTTTGTTTTGTTTCATTTTCTGAGACAGGGTTTCTCTGTGTAGCCCTAGCTGTCCTGGAATTCACTTTGTAGACCAGGTTGGTCTTGAACTCAAAGGGAAGCCTGTCTCTGCCTCCTGAGTGCTGGGATTAAAGGTGAGTGCCACTATACCCAGCCTTAAATTTTATTTAAATACATACCTTAGATATACTATATAGATTTTGTTGTTGTTGTTGTTACGTACATCTCAGGAGACTACAGTGTGAGAGAAATGCCCTCATGCAGGCACACCTCCCCCCTCCCCAAGGGGTGGAGCCTGATTTAAATTCCTCTTAACTGTAGCAAAGTCTCACCACCTACCTGCTGAATGAACCAAAGAGCAAGGAAATCTAAAAAGTCTGTCCACAAAGCAGCAGCATTGGGGTCTGCTGATGTTTCCAGCAAAGCTGTAGCAGAGCCCTATTGGCAGATGTGGAGATTGACTTACTCTCTTCTCCCTTACTCTCCCTCCACTTCAAACTGGCCTCTAACTCAAAGGGCCCCTCGCTTGAAATCCCAGGCTTTATTCCCCTGGCCATGAGGGGAGCTTGGTTCTTCTTCCTCAAGTGGATACATCAGAACAGATCCCCTGTGTCACCGTCCTTTGGCTGTCCCGAACAAACACACTGTGACATCCAAAGAGGTTCCACCCCAGACACTTCCATCCCCTAAGCCTCTTTTGAAGGAACATACCAAACACTGAGCTCACAGACGCTTGCATGTCCGTGGACATGTGTGTATTATTGCCTCTATGAAATGTGTTTTTATATCCTGCTGTTATCTCCACCTTATATTTTGTATTGTTGACAGACCTCCCCAGAAGTCCTATTATAAAATCACTTACATGATATGCTTAATTTTTATGTTATTGCTATATATGCCATTTGGTGGTAAATAGTGAATGGTTGATGATATGACTGACTGGTGCCCAGTCCCAGATGTGTATTAATAATCTTGTAAAACAGTATCTCAGATGTTAAGCTACTCTGTTCCATTTTTTTAAAGTAAACGACATATGCATGGGACAGTTATGAATATTGATTTGTCAAAAATGTTTAATTTAAATAAATGTTTTTTTTGTACCTTGACCATTCTATCCTTTGAAATAGTTTTGGGGGTAAATATAACCAGTTTCCATATTAGGTGTCCATGCTATGTGCTAGCTGTAATATTGTTCAAATTGTTTTCTCCATCAACTTTTTTATTTTAAGGAGTTTTTGTTGTACAGGGTTTAAAATTTTTTTTTTTTTACGACTCATGCCAAAAAACATAAACTTCAGTTCTACCCGTTGAGAATGATGCTGCTTTTGTTGACACTGGAAGAAGAAAAAAAAGAGCCATCGCTGCCCACGTGAGCAGTTTTTCCACACCTGTGCAGTGGAATGGAAGCGACCACACGCTGCCCGAGCTTAGGCAAGGGCCCGCCTTGCCATCTCCCCTACTGGAGTAATGTAGCAGTATTCAGTGGCCCTCTGGACCGGACCACTGTGGGAGAGGCAGGTGCACAGCTAGAATCAAAGGCTGAGGCAGCTGGAGCATTCCAGGATGCACCCCCCCCCCTGGGCCACGAAGTGGGTAGTGGGAGGGACCTCCTGGTCCACTCTGCATGTCCTTTCTGTGTTGATTATAAGCTACAGACATTCTTTTAGTAGCACGTCATCATTGAAGGGAGCGTTACAGAAGGTTTCTGGTCTGTTTCTCATCCACAGCCCCAGGTGGGACTCACCATTCCCACCCCGTTACACAGCCAGGAACACTAAGCTACAGAGTGGGAGATGGCCCGGGGCTCACCATCCTAGGGTGTTGGCTTCAGCACCCATGAGACACATTTGTTGGCAGCATTTGTGGCCGAGGGCTTAGTACTACTGCTCTCTTTCGGTTTGGGTTTTGGTTTTTGTTTTTTGGGTTTTTTTTGTTTGTTTGTTTGTTTGTTTGTTTTGTTTTGGTTTTTTTGAGATGTGGCCTTACATTGAGGCTCAAACTGACTTGGAACTCACTATGTAGCCCAGACTAGCCTTGAACTTGTGGAAATCTTTCTTCTTTGTCCTCCTCGGTGGTTTTCTGTGCTTCACTGGGGCATGGAATCAAGTGCTCCTCAATCCATGACCGTCTCAGGCCAGAGGAGAAGAAAAACAGTTGTGGGGCCTGGCTGAGATGACACAGAGCTGTGCTGTTCTGGCCTGTCATTGTGCCTGGTCAGTGGTGACAGCATGTAGGGATACACTGGTATGTCATTGGCTATGCTGAGCTCTGAATTAGCAGTATCTGGTCAAGGTGTGCCCCTTGGCACTGCCAAATGGGCATGCATAGCTGTAGCCACAAAGTGGGTACGCTGTCCCTGCCCTTGCGATGGCATGAAGCAGCCAGGAGGGTGCTCAGCTCTGGAGGGTGTAACAGTGTGGAAACTGAGGTCTCTGTGGGGCCCAGATGCCTGTACCTCTTGCCCGTGGTCCTCACGTGTGACTGCTACCATATCTCATGGGATGACAATGATGACAAGGTATTTTTCTAAAATGCTGATGTTCCCAGGCTACTCTTTGGCTTAAGATCTCTGTTCCTGTTTCTTAAACACTGAGCACTAAAGAAGACTCATCTTGTGGCTGAGGAACTCCATATTCTAACTTTACTTACGTCTGTTCAGGGCAATCTTTATTTTCACAAATTGTTTTCATAAACGTTGTAGATAGAGAAATACTTTTGTGTTCTTTTCTTTCAGAGACACCCCCTACCACTGCATCTCCTGATGACTACACAAACCTCAGGCCTGTAATATCTGCCCAGCCCCAATGTTAGTTCCCTGATAGCCGATGCTCTTCTTTCCAAAAGTTTCTCAGCTTCTCCCAACCTCTGGTGCACCTTGCTGCAAGCATATCTGCTGGTCTCTAGAAACACTCAGAAACACTCTCTTTTCCCACGTATCCATGCTTTGCCAGCACAGTTTCTAGACTTCCTCACACTATAGCCCATCTCATGATACCTCAAACAGTGTTTAACTGACAGGTTTTTATTCTCCCATGGATTCTGGTGGCTATAATGACTGGTCAGCAATAGATTCAACCAGATTGTGTCGTCCAATGCCAGACCCAGAGTAGGTTCAAGAAACCTAGTTGGGTTGTGTAGTGGTGAAAGAGTCCTATCTTTCTAGGACCATTCTCCTTGAAACCATAATCCTAAGGCCTTTGGATATGTACCCTTAGGTTTATGTGGCTGAGTGGTTTGGCATGCACCTGTTGCAGTATAGACAGGTTGGCGATGGGACATGAGCCTTCTTTTTTGAATAGTGTTTCTGCTTTCTTTCCGGTAAAAGGGGAGGGAGAAAGGAAAAAGGAGACACCCATCCTGTCCCATTTGCTTCTGTGTTGCTAGGATAAAACAATAAAACAGCCTGGGGAGGAAAGGGTGTATTTGGCTTACACTTCCACATCACAGTCCATCACATCAGGGACCTTGAGGCAAGCACTGAAGCAGAAGACATGGAGGAGCGCTACTTATTGGCTTGTACCCCATGGCTTGCTTGGTTTGCTTTCTTATATACCTCAGGACCGCCTACTCAGGGGTGGTACCACCCACAAGGAGCTGAGCTCTCCCATATCAATCATTAATCAGGAAAACACCCACAGGCGATTCTTCAATTGAAGCTTCCTCGCCCAGGTGACTCTAGTTTGTGTCTAGCTGACAAAAAGTAACAAACACTTATTTATCAAACATTCTCCATCTATCTATCTATCTATTTATCTATCTATCTATCTATCTATCTATCTATCTATCTATCTATCTATCTATCTCTCTATCTATCATCTATCATTTATCTATCCATTTATCACCTATCTATCTATTCTCTATCTCCTGTCTATATATATCACCTATCATCTCTCTATCATCTATATATCTATCATCAATCTATACCTATCTATCTATCTATCTATCTATCTATCTATCTATCTATCTATCTATCATACTTTCTGCCTTTCTTTTTTCTATTTTTCTCTCCCTCTTTCTCTCTTACTTATTGCACACTTATCTGGGCATACACACACTTATTCATCCACCCTCCTGTCTCTCTGTCATCTATCTTTTAATTATAAATATAGACTTAGTTTTTGTAGAAAAATTTAAGAAAATAATATCGTGAGGAAAAGAAAAAGTTATCTGTCATCCAAAACTTAGAGCTACATTTAGTTATTTTTTGACACATACCTATCTTCCTTTTTAAACTTTTGGTCTAGATATATATTTTCATGTGTCTTTTATGACAAAGATTGTACTCTCTAATGGCAAACTTTTCCTATGTCATTAAACTTAGTTTTTCTGAAAAAAAGATACTTTCTTCGTGCTTGACAAAACAAACAAACAAAAAAACAAAACAACAACAATATGAACAGCAACAGCCTAAGACAGGGTTCATCCTTCACCCATCCCATTGGGTAGTAAGGGATATTTGACGCTGAGGCAGCAGGACAGAGGGTTACAATTTTGATGCCACTCTGGGCTACCTGGTGAGACTGTGTAAAAGAAGAAAGAAGGGAGGAGAGGGAAGTAAAAAAAAAAAACCAGCAGGAGAAAGAAAAAGGAGAGTGGAAAGCCAAAGGAAAATGGAGAAAGAAATCACTCACTTGCTGTAACTACTTTCCTTATGGTTGTGGCGTGTGGCTATCTCCTGTCCCATTTCCCAGCTTACACAGTAGTATGTACTATGACTGTGATCGTCTGGACACACAACCCACCGGTAATAGCTTGTCTTCATGTTGATTATCTCTGTGGCTACATAGAACTTCGGTGAACTGACGCCACAGCTTACATTTTTTACTTGGCCACCCCATCACTCTCCCATAATTAGATTGTTCAACCCATTGACATTGTAGCAGGGTGTCACAGAGGTAATACCTAAGAATCTTAAAAACTTACAAAAAGAATTTATGATATTTAAAGTACTACACTCACGAGCAGGCAGCCTAAGTTGGACATCACCTTTAGTTCTCGGTACAAAGAAGCTGAGACACTCCTGTGGACCCCACAAAAAAGAGCAGATTCAGCTGGGCGTGGTGGTGCATGCCTGTAATCCCAGCACTCAGGGAGGCCGAGGCAGGTGAAGCTCTGTGAGTTCAAGGTTAGCCTGGTCTACAAAGCAAGTACAGGAAAGCCAAGGCCACACAGAGAAACCCTGTCTCAAAAAACAAACAAACAAACAAACAAACAAACAAAAACAGATTCTATGGGAAGATGGAAACCCCTGATGACCTTTTGTCACTGACTGCATATGACCAAGCTCTTGTTGCCTCCCTTTTCAGGCACCATGGGCATTCTAAAGGCCCCGAGGAGGCTAGTTATTGTATCTTAGAGGTGATGAGATCTGCAAGATACAGCAGTGACTTCAAGTCACCAGGTTGTATGGAGGGAAAGTAGCTAAAAGAGTCTGCTTGCCCGTGTCTCCTTACCTTGTTGGTTCTTATCACAGAAACTGGGAGAATCTCACAGCTCCTCCATCAGATCTCAAGAAGCCAGAGGACTTTTGCTCCATTTATTTATTCTTTTTTTTTTTTTTTTTTTTTTTTTGAAAGACAGGAATACCAGCCCTGCCACCCACTTGTCTCAGGGTGCTGGGATGGCTGGCCAGAGAACGGGTATAACATCCTGAACTGTGCTGGAGAGAACAGAGGAGAGGCGACCCATCCCCACTGTCACCTCCTCAGCCATTTTGATTTAGAGCAAAGATGTCTCTTGGTGTGCACAGGACCCCTGTGTGTACTCAAACTCCCCGTGCTCAGGCCCCATGCGTAAAATGGCACAGTCTGCAGTTAGCCTGACTACACCTTCCTGTGGACTTTCCATCAGATGACTATGACACCTGACAGAGAGCTCTACCGTGCAGCCTCCCTTTACGCCACAGTCTTTGTGGAAATGATGAATAATGTGAGGGAACAAAACCTGCCCAGGCTCCATGCTGACAGACTGTCCTGGGTAGAGCTGCCTGGTCCAGGACTCCTTTCAGTCTGAGTAACCAAGTCAGCGATATGGGCCACGTGAATGCCAAAACCTGACTGTGCCTGTGTTTTTAATAAAAGAAATATGGGG